ATTTTAATGAACGTTTATAGAGACTTTGAATTTCCATTGATTCACTGTTGCTTTTTAAAAAATTTTTTTTTATTTTATTTCATTATTTTTTGTGTGTACCGTCAAATCAGATCTGACTGGTACGGGAGGAGATTGTTCCTCCTTCTCCAGCAGAGCATCTGGTGGATTCGAACCGTGCACCTCATTGTTGCATTTTTCTCTCTGCCCTCCTCCCCAGTTTGCTCTTCTCTTTGAAAAGTAAAAGAAAAATTCTTTCATTGGTATACAATCCCCCCTCGCTCCGTACATTCCACTATGCAGCCTTGGGTATTATGGTCATGACAAGAGTCCAGAATGTGTTGAATGATTTGCCTCTTACTTCAAAATCTGCTTCTTAGAATGGCCCCACCCCATCTCCCTCTGCCTGCTTCAGGGCACAGGGCGTGTGTCCCATGCCTCATAGCCGACCCTCCAGCGGGCTTTCAGAGGCATTAAATACCAAAGGAGGAGACTCCCCATCTTTCTCCCTTAGAGCAGTTGGTGGATTAAAACTGCATGAGCTTTGCTAAATTTTAGAAAAGAACCTTAAGCTCAGCTGGCAGGATAGCCGACTGGAAAGAGCAGGTACCTACAAAAACCTCCCAGGAAATTTAGTAAAACTATTACAGGGTATAGCTGGATTAAAGACAAAGGAAGGTAATCATATTGCTATGGAAAAGAAAGAAACAACAACAACAAAAACACCCACGAAAATAAAACCCCCGCAAACAGATTTGTCCTGGCAAGGGTTAAACCGAGTGGCTCCTTGGAGGCAAGGATTCTGAGGCTCCCTCTAACATACTTTGGACATGTTGTGAGGAGAGACTGGTCCTTAGAGAGGGACATCATGCTTGGGAGGGTGGAGGGACAGCGCAGGAGAGGAAGGCCCTCTATGAGGTGGATTGATTCAGTGACTGGGATAATCGGGATGGGAGTGTCAGAGACAGTGCGCTTGGCATAGGACAGAGCAGGGTTTAGGGCTGTAGTACATAGCGTCGCTATGAGTCACAAGCTACTCGAGGGCACATAACAACAGTAACAACCAGTTGCGCAGGCAACTAAAAGCAGCCTTGCTTTTGTAATTCAAATCTACCAGCAGCTCCACTGAAGAATGATGGGTAAACTCCTCCCGTGTAATTTACAGCCTTTGAAAACCTCTGTGAGTTGGTCTCCACTCGAAGGCAATGAGTTAAAGTTTGAGGGGATTGTGTGTGTGGTTTTTAAAAATTTTTTATTTTACTTCATTATTCTTTTTTGTGTGTGCGTACCATCAAGTCAGATCTGTCTGGTACAGGAAGAGATTGCCCCTCCTTCTCCAGCAGAGCATCTGGTGGATTTGAACTGCTCGCCTCAGGGATTGCAGTGCAGCTTTTTTGCCACTAGGGAGGTGATTGGTTTTAGTGGGTTGTTGGGTTTCTGTGTTTGTTTTTTTTGTTTTATTTTTTAAAAAGGATGTTGTTGCCGGTGGTGTTTGTGAGGGTCTACCCCTGACTCAGGATGCCTTTTCTAATTTCCCGTGGTCAAGGCCAGGCAAAGGGGGTGTGGAGCAGTCCATCAATCCCCCATCAACCCCTTCTGTCCTCTCTAATTCTCAGGAAGCAGGAAACGCTCCATATATAACTATATGCATTTCAGAAACTGCAGACATGGCTGGATTTAACCTTTTCTTGAACTGGCAAAAAGACTGGTGAAAATTGAGGGCGGGATGAGTAGGAATAGAGAAAATATCATTCAACATTTGGAGTAGCTACTTACTCCCAGGGCCAAATTTGACAGAGGCTGATCACATGCTAATTAATAGCCTTTGCAATCACGTAGCCCCAACCGCTGGCCAACGAAGAAATCCCACCTTGCTATCTTCTTTTGTTCCTTAGACTGCCCTCTAGGGAGATCCTAGGAAACAGACTCAGAATATGGAGACTGGGGTTTTTAGACCTGGAGTGGCTCGTAACACACTGTGACCTTAGAGAAAGCATTTTTCTGACCCTAGTTCCTACCCTACTGTCTTTGTAGGGTTGTGTTGTTGTTGCTGTGTACCATTGTGTTGGAACTGACCCATAGCTGACCCGCCAGTGGGTTTTCAGAGACAGAAAATCACACAGGAGGAGACTGCCTATCTTTCTCCCAAGGAGCAGCTGGTGGATTCGAACTCAGTACTTTTGCATTCAGTTCCTTATCACTAAGCCACAGGTGCTCGCAGTGTTGGGAGACAGATCCAAGGAGTTGAGGCCCTGGAAATGCTGTGTGTACACCAGGGGTCATGCTCCAAGGCAGACGAGAGGGATGGCAGTGAGGGGAGGTGGTTGTTGTGTGCTTTCGAGTCAGAGCTGACTCTCTGAGGGGTTCACAGAGGCTGTAAATCTCACTGGAGGAGATTGCCCATCTTTCTTCCACAGAGCAGCTGGTGGATTTGAACTGTGTGCCTTTGGGCTGACAGCTCAATTCATTAGCACTAGAATCCGGGGGACCAAATTGTGATTTGAGATTGAGAGTGGTTATTCGAGGGCTCAGCTGGAAACAGGGATGGCATTAGAGAGTCTTTCTCATGATAGTATGCTTGGAATACAACAGAACTTGTGTCCTGCATGGTTTGTTGAACAGGAGGGGAGGAGGATGTGACTGAGGGGATGGGGTGCCCTGGAAGGACCCCTGGGACTGTGTTGCTGTCTTTCCCCACCAGCACAGGGAAGGGGGGATCCCTAACTTCTCTGGCCTCTCTCCCTTAGGGCTGACTCAGGCAGACCCAGAAAAAACTGTGAAGTGGTGCGTCACATCAAAAGCAGAGCTCGATAAATGCAACGATATGAAAGCTGTCCTTCCGGTCGCGTGTGTGAAGACCTCCTCTTACTATGAGTGCATCCAGGCCATTTCGGTAAGTAATGCCTGTCTGAAGGAGAGCACAAGGAAATGCGTCATTTCTCTCTCTCCTTCATCTGTTAATTTGGAACAATGGTTTATTCACAGGTCGGTGTGAGGGCCTACCAAACCCACTGTTAATAAAATCATTCAAAAAATGGAAATGTGGTTGTTGTTGTTGTTGGGTGCCATCGAATCAAGTATGATTCATAGCAGCCCTGTGAACAACCAGTCTGAGCACTGTTTTATCCCGTACCAGCCTCATAATCTCTGACACACTCAAGCCCATTGCTGCAATCCTGTGTCAGCCCACCTGGTTGAGGGTCTTCCTCTCTTTCGATGCCCCTCCACCTTTCCAAGCATGATATCCTTTTCCAAGGAATTAACTCACTTAGCAACACACCCAAAGTATGTGAGATGAAGTCTCATCATCTTTGCATCCAAGGAGCCCTCTGACTGCACCTTTTCCAACATCTATCTGTTCTTTTGGCCGTTGGTGGAATTGTACAATGATGTAATTCCAATTCACCCATTTTATATAATATTTCATGAGTTCCTTGTTTTTCAGTGCAGTGTAGTATTCTATTCCATTGTGTGACTATACCATAGCTTTTCGTTTGTTGATGGGCACTTAGGTTGTTTCCAGCTCTTTGCTATTGTGAACAAAGTCACAATAAACATGGGTGTACATATATCTACTTGGGTGGCAGTTATAGTTTCTTTAGGGTACATTCCCAGTAGTGGAATTGCTGGGTCAAATGGTATTTCTATTTGCAACTTTTTGAGAAAGCGCCACACAGCCTTCCACAGTGGTTGCACCATTTTACACTCCCACCAACAGTGAATAAGGGTTCCAGTCTCTCCACAACCTTGCCAGCATTTGTTGTTTGCTATTTTGTTGAACTTTGCTATTCTGACTGGGGTGAGACGATATCTCATAGTTGTTTTGATTTGCATCTCTCTTAGAGCTAGGAATTTTGAACATGTCTTCATGTCCTTGTTGGCCATCTGAATGTTTTACTCTTGAATACTAGTTTTTTAAAATTTTTATTTTATTATTTTTGTGTGTGTACCGTCAAATCAGATCTGACCGGTACAGGAGGAGATTGTCCCTCCTTCTCCGGCAGAGCATCAGGTGGATTCGAACCACGTACCTCTGGGATTGCAGTGCAGTTTCTTGCCACGAGGCCACCTGAGCTCCCCTGAATACTATTTTTACTACATACAGAATTCTAAGTTAAAAGCTCTGGTGGCCTAGTGGCAAGAAGCTGTGCTGTAATCCTGAAGGCATGCAGTTCGAGGCCACCAGCTGCTCTGTGGAAGAGGGATGAGCATTTGCCTCCCAAGCAATTAACCGCCTCTGAAAACCCACCAGAGGGTCAGCTCTGGATTAGTTCTGATTCTACATCACACAACAAAAAACACACACAGACTTCTAAGTTAAAAGTTATTTTCATAATACTTGAAAATATCATTCCATTGTCTTCTACTGTTATTATTGAATATTATTATTGAATAATAATATTAATAATAATAAAATAAGAAATAAAATAATAATAATAGTATTGAATATATTATTATTGAATAATGTGGTGTTCTTATATTATCCACCTACCCCCCTTTTCCTTCCTTATCCTTGGCTGACTTTTCAATGTTGGTGCCTTGGTCTACGATGTTTCATAGATTGGTCATAATGATCTTAGGGGCAGAAGCTTTGCCTTTATCTGGCTTAGGCTACATTGGTTTATGTCATGGTTGATGGATCTGTGGGTTCATGTACTTCATGCAGTCTGGAAAATTTGCAGACTCCTTTTTTTTTTCCTTTAAAAACTGCTTTTCTGTGCATTTTTCGTTCAGAATTCTAGTAAGATAAATGTTGTTTGTAGTTGTTGTTGCTAATGTGCCATTGAATTGCCGGTAAGTCATAGTGACCCTATGTATGATAGCTCTGAACCCTACCCTGTCCTGAGTCAATCTCACTGACACACCTAATTCCATTGCCCCAGTTATTGTGTCAATCCATCTCATCTGGGGTCTTCTCCTGTGCTGTCCTTCCACCCTTTTGAGCATCATATCCTTCTCTAAAGACTGGTGCCTCCTGGCCATGTGCCCTAAGTATTTGAGTCAGAGTTTCAAAATTCTTGCCTCCAGAGCGCAGCTTGCTTTCATCCTCTCCAATAGAGATCTTTTCGTTCTCTTGAGAGTCTATTGTGTGTTCAATACTCTTATTCAGCACCACAACTCAAGTGCATTAATTCTTCTTCTGTCATCCTTAGTCATTTTCCAGCTCTCTAATGCATACACAGCAAGTGATAGTGAAGACCATGGCCTGGATGAGATGCACTTTATTCTCTAGACTGACATCATTGCTCTTTTAGCATTTTGAAGAGGTCCCTGACCGCAGACCTCCCCATTGCAGTTAGTCAGGGGCATTGTATAAGAAAGTCCTGATACCTTACTTCCCTGAAGATTAGAGACAACCCATTCATATGTAGTTGGATAAAATTGTAGTACATTCACACAAGGGAATACTATGCAGCACTCAGGGGCAATGATTTCGAAAAATAGTGCATAACTTGGGAGAGAATGGAAAGCATTATGCTGAATGAACTAGCTCAGTCTCATAAGGACAAATACTGCATAAGACCATCGTTATAAAAATAGAATGATAACTAGTAAAACATGTAAAGAGGTTCCCAAAGAGGAAAGGATTGGGAGTGGTGATGTGAGGATGGTTAGGGACAAAACCACAGGGTTGCACAGCTTTGTGGGTGGAAGAAGGGGATGAAAGAAATGGGAAGGGTCTAGCAGGAACTTGAAAAGACTGGGTAACGATGGGCAAGGTCTGATGGTGATTGATTTTTTAAAAAAATAATTTTAATGAGCATTTACAGAGATTTTGGATTTCCATTCATTCATTGCTGCACTTCTCTCCCCGCCCAGCCTTCCCCCCTCCCAGTTCACTCCACTCTTTCAAAAGTAAAAGATTCCCTCCCTGTTACACAATCCCCCCTGCACCCTTCCCACTGCCCCAAGTACATTCCACTATGCAACCTTAATTGTGGACTCTTATGATAACCATAATACCCAATCATACATCGCTTTTAAATTATTCACTCCCTCATCTGTTTCAGTGCAGTATGCACAATTTATCCAGTTTTTCTCAGTCTTACCCCAACTCTGAAAATCAATCCCATTTTACAGCAGTGGCACCATGCAATATTTGTCCTTATGCGACTGAGATATTTCACTCAGCATAATGTCCTCCAGGGTCACCCATTTTGAATAATATTGCATGAGTTCCTTGTTTTTCAATGCAGCGCAGTATTCCATTGTGTGAATATACCACAGCTTCTCTATCCATT